GTTTTAAATTCATCACCTTTCCACCTATACGTTCAAAATCATCTCTTAACTGATAAAAGGTTTTGAAGGTTATTACCAGTGCTTATCAAAATTACTTGTTAATATTGATTATATGTCGAGTGAGCGCAATTTATCAAATATCGAAGATTTATCGCAAGGACTTTTTTTAATGATAATTTTTAATGATACTTTAATGATAATAGCAGTAATAATAACAATATGATATGGAACTGCAGATATTCACCAGTCTGAGAATAATCGAAGAACCACACTTGTATATGACAATAACGTTGAGAATGCTTGACACATAGAGAGAGTTATCTTTCTCTATTATCTTTTAGAGGGGAATGAATCCGCACTAGTTTCGAATTAGTATTGAATAGCAGCCGATACAATACTACGATAGCAATAGTAACAGTAATAATAAGAATAATAAGTAATAATAAGAATAATAATATTATTAACGATAATAATAAAAGATAAAAATAGTGAATATTGGCGATAGCTGATAAAAATTAATTAATTACTAACATTTAACGTAAATAATTAATAATTAATATTGTAAATGTCAGTAATAATAATAATAATATTAATAATAATAATCATAAATGAAAATAGATATATAGAATTTTCAATTTTAATTTACACAAAGATTTTATAATATGTAAAATTATCTCAGAAATTCCATTAAAATTAATAAAAATTAGAAAAATTTTCGTTTTTCTAAATAAATTAATTTAATTTATTTAATTTTTTGAAATTTGAATTATTTAAATTATGAAATTTTTTGAAATAGTTTTTATAGAAATAATTTAAAATTTATTGTTATTTAGTTAGTGTTTATTTTAAGAATTTCTTTCGGCTGCATCTATCATTTTTGGTTTCGCTGATTATGTTGGAGACTATTGGAAAGGCACCTCTTCACCATAGTGTTTCCTGAGAACCAAGATTACCAACATATCTCCAATATCATTTTGATTTCACTTTTAATAAAAAAATTTTCTTCCTTCAATAAACCAATCTGATGGTTTATCCTTATTCGAAACAGCATGCCAGTGGATCCCTCAATGTCCTTCCAAGTCCGTCCCTTTTATTAAACGATTCAGAAAATAAATTTTATATTATTTGACTAAATGGCGAAATAACGAATGTGTTCATTGAAATAGAAAAATTATAATTAATAAAATTGTTGAAGTGAAAATGTAATAAATTAATGGTATTATTATTTATATTATTTATTTATTATTTATAAGCCAATGCTCTCAAAATATATATCTCAAGGACGCCCCGGAAAGAATCAACGAGGTTCATTAAAGAGACCCTCGGGGAAGATCACTTTTGTAGTATTATGAAGGCATTATTTGACTTTTTTATTTTCTCTCCTATTCTCTTCTAAAGTAATAGGCGTAGCCCAATCTGCAGATTTCCTTAGAATATGATAAATATCGATAGGCAACAATTAATGAAAGAAGACTGACCTAACTAAGCTTCAGAGCTTACAGTTAGTCACCACAGTCACGAATGAATAATTTTTTAAATCGAACATAGAAATTTTTTTATTTAATCCCACAAAATTTCGAAATTATAATGATTTTCACATTATTCATATGTATTCGCCTAATTTCTCAATACATAATAAAAATAAAATTAATAAAAAAACTTCGAATAAAATTTCAGAAAAATATTGAATATGTTGAGAATAAAAAATTATTTCCGTAAGTGCGCACTTATAAATGGAATAGAATATCCGAATGGACATTTATTTAGACGATGGTGTTGGAAGGCAAAAGCTTGAATTTAGCCTTGGCACGAGAGAAGAGATTTGGGAGAACTGAAAAATCCGGGTGGTATTTGGCGTCTCAAACGTATTTCATACATCGAACAACTTTCTCATAAAAATTTCTAAGCGCACTAATAGTTAGCAAATTGGGAAGGAAATGTTGAGTGCTCGCCACTTATTTTCCTAATAGACTCGTAAAATTACTAAAATTAATGAAATCATTCATTCATAAAATTATTTAAAATGATTTGTGAAAAAAAATTGTCAACCAGCAATTTACAGTTTTAGCAAAATTTATTTTTTATTATTTTTTATTAATTCAATATTATTTTTATTTGAAAAATTTAACTCAATTTTAACTTTTTTTTGAAATTTTTGATTTTTTTATTATTTTATTCACTTTTCTTAAAAAATTTATATTTCAATCAATTAAGTACCACAAAATTTCCACAGGAAAATGATATCCATAATAATGGAGAATAAAGATAAAAGTATTCAAGTTCTTTTGATTTATCGATTTATAGTACCAAAATTTAATCACTGTTGTGCTTTTCTCACTTCAAGCGTTTATCACTTAAAGTCGTAAGTTAATTTTTCTGCAAATTTTTGAACAAATCTGCCTGAAATTTGTATAAATTAAATCATAAGGAACGAACGATTAAATCTAATTACGGGCAAATATTCTGGATAGTGGATCAGGACTTGCTTCTCATTATAACCCCAATGTGCATGAGAGCAGTGGTTAATGGAACCAACTTAACCTGAAATGGCGCATGTCATCAAAAAATTCTTAAGACACATATCAGCGATCGGTACTTAATAATTATATAAATTTCACAGGAATAATTTAATATGGAATTGAATGGGAGAGAAATAACAAGAAAAACAAATAGCATAGGCAAGGAAATAAAAACACAAGTAGTAATCATTTATTCTTGGATCGTTCTATTGGCATGTTGAGAAAAAACCAAACAGAAGATATAATAATAGGTGAATCGCTAGAATTACCCGAATTTTTTGATCAGGAAGGTTTAATCTTGCCAGAGGCAGTTTCTCCGGTGCCGAATGTGGTGACTTAGACAACACCCTCTCTGCTATCCTATCCCACTCTTAGTAATATGACAGTGGTATGGAATTGCGAATAAATAGCTTACGAAATAATGATTAGTTGCATCGTTTTTCGAGAATTGCATGGCCAACTTAAAAGCGATTTGTTTTTTTCGTTTTACGCGTTGTTCCGTATAAACCAGCACAAACGCAAATAGTAATGAATAAACTGGCGTTAATTGAACGCCTTAAAAAGTGAAATTCATTAAGAATTTATTAGAATTTAACGATAAAAATTTTAAAAGATCGGATTCTGAACGAATAATATCGTTTGCAGTTGAATAGACCAACTGACTTATTTGAATTTATCACTTATCACTTTATCATTTAAATTTATGGTTTCTTCTAAGATAAATAGTTTGAATGGAAAAAATTGTTCTTCAAAATTCCCACAAAATATAATATCTACAACCATTATTTCAATTTTTCCGAAAAAAAATAGTATAAACTTACTTTCAAGAAAAATAGCAAAATTATCCTGTGAAAATTTTGGTTTTGTTAGAAAATATATGATAAAAGCTAATGTAAAGATGGAATAGAAAATCGAATGACACAGAATCAATGGTGCAATAGTAGTAATCGAAGTAATATTTTCCTTCAACTGATAACGATGTGATAAATCAGTTTCCATTAGATTTTGACGTACTTGCTGCAATTTCTCGTTTATAAAAATATTTAGGAAAAAAGTATTTTATGATTATTATTATTAAGAAATAATATAATATTTTTATTTTATCCATTATTTTAAATATTTCGATAATGAAATTTTGTCCATTTCCATAATTAGGCTCTTCACTTTGTGGAGATTTGTACATAATCCCGCAGCTATGCCTCATTTTCAAATATAAAAATTTTAAAAGATCGGATTCTGATTATTAATAAAACCGAGCTAAGAACCGAGAATCTGTGGTTCCAATTTTAATTGGCTCTATCTAATTTTAAAGCTATTCGATGTGGTAAAAAATATTTACCACTAATAAAAAATAAAAGATATAAATTAATAATGCTTGAAAATAGTACTATATTTATATGTAGTAATAAACGAAGTAGGAAAATTGCGGCGATTTCCATTAGAAACAAAATAGTTATCATAATTGCGCCTCGACCGGAATTGTTTTTATCAACTGATGAGCAGTATATTTCACTTTTCGTAGCTTCAAACATACGTGCATCATGAATAATTACAATTAAGACTATTGCTATAACAATCTGAAAAATAAAATTATCAATGGCCATTTCATCTTCTTCTAACAACTCTCATCATTATTGGTTAGGCTGTCTCTGCTGACTACTGAGATAAGACGCTTCCAAGCTGCTTGGTCCGACTCCATCGCTAGTAGTAATAGGAGCCATTTCTTTTTCCATTGTCTAACTCCATATATCGCTGATCCCCCTATACATTCAAAATCTTTCCTCACTGTATCAGTCCAGATCTTGACTGGACATTATATAATATGAAAAATTTGATAAGTTTAATAAAACATACTTCGCATAAAATCAGAATGAATGCCAAAGACCGACCCATTCGTTCATATTTTGCTGACCAATAAGTTCCAATAGCTCTTTCGGCGACTATTAGTAGCATCGAACATGGTAATATACAAAATGTAAACGTAACTGGTGTTCGAATAATGAAACATCTTAGTGGCGTTGATAAATACATACACGGATCGTGATAATTCCAATGGAAAACAATGAGATCGGCGGTATGGGCAACAATTCTAATGAAACGATTAATGTCGTTTAATTGGCCAAGGAAATTTAAGTTCAAACATATATGATGAATATTTTATTAGTAAAATTGTGGTTGTTTTTTAAACATAAATTTGAATAAATTCGCTATATTTATGCTAAATTTTCTAAAAATAAGCAAGTAAAAGGGATATTGTTAGCATTAACGAGTTTCTCTCCATTAAGGTAGAATGAGAAATATTTCTATTATTTCATTCGAAAGTATTAGGCTGAATTTCGGTACCACGTGATAAGTTTTATCTCGCCCAGAGACAAAACCAAAAACTCGCAACGATAATTTGGGCTAATCAACTATCACCTAACCTTTCTCAACATGGTACTGCACTAGTTGGCGCATATTAATTGTTATTTTTCATTTTTTTTTTAAATTTTCTATAAAATATTTATTGTAATAACCTTGCTACGCAATGTAAAATTAGATAAATCTGATGAGCAATGAGAAGTATTCGAGTATTTTCATGAATTGCCATACATATAACATATTTTTTCATAACGATAATTTGTACAATTATTCCAATCATTGATATGATCGCTACGACAGTTATCAACAAAATGAAATATACGCTATTCGCTAAGGTTTGAGCGGCTAAACAATCCGATGCGAATTTTTCCATATATTTCTAGAGGAATTTGAAATTAAATTAAAATTTTAAATTTATAAAAAATTTTTAAAATTATTTTAAAATTTTCAATATCAAATAGAATCAAAAATCATCAATCATATTATTCTTATATTATATTTATAACGAATAAAAAAAAAAATTGAAAATGAAATAAATTTTTTAAATAAAATTCTAAATAATTTTATTATCTTATAGCATAATAACTATTATATTTATATTAATGAATAATAATTCAGCGAAATTTTTCGTAATTTCCTATTTTTATAACTAATTTAATAAGGAAACGATTTTTATTTTGTTCATAAATCCTCTTTTATCGCATAATAAAAATTAAATTAAAATGAATTTCCTCTTTTATTGAAATTTTCTTATCATTCTTAATTTATTAACGTATTGCATGTGCAAATATTCGGGATTTGCACATTAAAAATTAATCGTTTAATGCAAAAGCTCAAATATTTTTGGCGATTTATTTAAAAGGATAGAAACGATCGTACGAGTTTAATCAGAAATAATGAGCGCTTCTGGAAATTTGAAAAATATAAATGACAATGTAACAAGATTAATTCCATTAAATAGTGTTCATGTACTTAGAAATTATAAAAAAAAAAGTTCAATTAAAAGTGATCATTTGTTAAAGGTAAATTTAATAATTTAATAAGGCGTATTTTGATGCATTTTATGCCACCCGAAGGGTAAATTCAATAAAATAACTGTAATTGCAATTTTAATCCAATTTCTTTTTAATTATTAAAAAAAAAATTCAATTTATACATCGTATTAATGTTATCATCGAATTTATCATAAATTCAATAAGAATTTTATTTTTTGACATATTTTATTATCGAATAATCAAATGTGTTAATAGATAAATTGATAATAAATATCATTAACACAAATTTTTAAATAATTCATTTTGCGATTTGCCAAGAATTTTGCCAATGATTCGGTGTATTTACTAATTTCAAATAGCAACAAAGTTAAAGTATAAGGTTCCAATGGTAGATAAGACGTGACAAGTATAAAATATCCTGAATGGTACCTGACAATTATAAGGTAACAATTCTGTTGCGATGTTTCATCAAAGTGTCGATTTTATAAGTATTTTATCACCCACAATATTTAATAGGAAAAATCATAGCATTAGTAGTAAAATAATTGGTATTAATATTATATTAAGTTTAAAAATCCATGCAACTGAAATTGTCGCATATTTTGAAAAAATAAATATTTTCAGAAAATACTAATTTGAATTTTATTAATTTTATTAATCTATCAGTTTATATCAGCTTATATCAGTTGTTGTAATTGATAATTGATAATTAGAATTGATAACTGATCGTAATCGTGATTGATCGTAATTGATAATTAGAATTTTTAAAAAATGATATTCGTTTCAGCTATCATTCAGTTATCATTTTTATCTTTTGCTCATGTTGATCTTAGTTGATCACACTTGTCTAAGGTTCATTTTGCGGATCCCTCGAGCGAATAAAATATCACATGATCACATCACCTTCGTTCAAATATACCATTTGCATTAATAATATTATCAAGAGAGTCGCCTTCACTGAATAGGGCACGTTCTCCGTTCTCCGCTAGAGGAATTGACGCATATTTCGCTAGTTGTCGAACCCTCCGTGATGGTTGGCGTCAAAAGCGGGGTAGGGCAGTCAAGTCCTGGACTGACACGGTCAGGAAAGATTTTGAACGCATAGAGCGATATATAGATATAGACATAGACGATGAAAAAAAGAATGGCTTCTATTACTGTCGACGATGGCATTGGACCACGCCGCTTGAAAACGCTTTACCCTTGTAGCCAGTAGAGCCAGCCCAGTAATAGTGAAAAATACAAAAGAATTAGAAAACAGTAGAAGAAAAAAATTTTTATGATTAATCAGCCATAATATTTATAAGAAAAGCCTTAGCGTTTGCAGTAAAAAACTTGTATTAATTAATAACACAAGTGGTCAAAAATCATTCCAGCGTGAATATGATAAAATATCCTCAAAAGATTGTTGAATTGACCATATTAATGTATATCAGTCTTACTATCATAATTGATAATGAGAATTTTTAAAGAATATATTGTTATTAAAAAGTATACAAATATTCTTGTCGGTATTTTTGACTGACTCATTTATCATTTATTTATCAAAGATAGCTGCATGAATTTATTCATTTGATAAGGGCATTATTAGTTTTTGATAATTCAAATATCTACTTGACTTTCGCACATAATATTATTGCTTCTTGTTGAAAGATTAATAATAAATAATTAATTAATAATTACTAATAAAAATTATTCAGGCATTATAGAGTATTGCGAATTCAATTATGCTATTAGGTTTTTCGCGAGAATTCTATGATTTTTATATTTCATGCAATAAGTTCATTAGAAAAGTTACGTAATTTGCTTAAAATTAATTTTCAGGATTTTCAAAATAAGTTTCAGTTTCAGGTGGTGAAATATTTGTAATACAAAAGAATTATGCAATTATTTTTTAACGTTTTTGAAAAAATATCATTCGTAGAGATTAGCTCATAAGATGCTTTGAATAGGAATAATACAGTGGAACCACATAGTTGTACTAGTTTTGTAATTATAATAGTGGTAATTTTGTGATTTTTCATTGTAATTGTAATATTTAAATATTTTCCTTATATATTTAAATATATAAATATATATATATTTAAATATATTTTCCTTTCATTCGGTAAATATTCTATTTTCGAATAGCACTTTTATTTTCGACAGGTCTTTTTTATCATTTAATCATTTTTATCATTTTTTCAATTTACCCTTTCATTATATTTTCAATATATTTTCTATTTTTTTATCATTTTCTTCAACTTATTTCCTCTTTTTCTCATTTTTTTATAAAATCTTATATAATAAAATAAAATCTTTTAAAATTTTTTATTTGAAATTCAGTGAATCGTCATTTTTCTAAGAACTATACTTATATTTTTCGAAAAATTTTATTAAAGTTTTTCCGTATAGAATGAATTCCATATAGAATCAAGGGAAATATGAAATTTTCACGTCGTTGATTATCCAATTTTTCAGTTACCTTCTGTTTATCTTATTGGGGATTTAGATATGGCATAAATCCTCGAATTCCAAAGAGACATATCCTTTTTTTAATAGTAATAGCTAGTGGACCAAACCGAAAATACTAAATTCTTTAAAATTCGTTGAAATTTTCAGGGAACGCTTGAAGATGGAACTGAATTTGACAGTAGTCGTGCACGTAATCAAGAATTTATGTTTACGCTTGGTATGGGACAGGTGATTAAGGTGCTGAAAATTGAGAACTTCAAACGAAGTTCTATTTCTACTGAAAAACTTAAAAAAAAACTTCTCAATAATACCGCTCAATTTATTCTAAAATATTGAAGGGCTGGGATCAGGGATTATTAAATATGTGCGAAGGAGAACAGCGACGTCTAACTATTCCACCGGAACTCGGTTATGGCGAACATGGCGCACCACCAAAGATTCCACGTATGTATAATACTTTTTTTGATTTTCAATTTCTATTTCTTTGTCCGCGAATCTTTTTTTTTCAATTTTTTACAATAAATGATGAATTATGAATATTTTTTTCAAATTAGCGACAAAAAATAATTGGGTAAAATTTTTTTAAAAATGCGATTTAAAAATTTATTAATCTCGTTTAACAGATTAGTATTAAAAGTAAGAATATTTCTTCGAAAATCGAAATGGGCGTTCACTTTTTTTGTTTCCATGAATGGTTTTTTCATTTTTCTGATACCTTATGAAGAACATAGCGTCGCTATTATCATTTACTTTTATTTTTTACTTTTTATCACCAAAAATTATGAAAAATTTCGAAAATCATTATTTCAGCAAATGCGATTCTTAAATTCGATGTCGAACTGATGAAAATTGAACAAAAATCTGAACTGTGACTTTTTATAAAAAATACAACTTATTAAATTATCGTTTTTTTGTGATTTATTGTTTTATTGCTCATAGATGTTTTGGAAATTTTTTATTGCATATTGCCACAATAAAAATTGTGGAAATTATTTCGAATGTTTGTGTTAATTTATTTTTTTTCTAAATTTTTTGGCGAGTATTCCATTGGAACCATTGAATTGTAACAGTGATTTAAAAGAAAAAACGATATGACGAAAGATAAGCGATGAATAAAGCGATTGTTGAGGGCTTTTGATAATCATTAGTAGTCACTGGCCTATCACGAATTGACTCCCGAAAGGTCCATTTAACGTTTTACTTTAATAATCAGTGGAACTTTCCAAAGTAAAAATAAAGGCTATTTGATGAAACGGAAATTAGATAAAAAATTAAGAAAAATTCTATGAGAATTTCCCGTAATCGTAAATAAAGATTCATTTTATAAGAATTATATAAATTTTGAAAAATTTAATTCCGTATTTTACTTTTTTAAATAGCATTCAACGTTACTAGTTAGACGCGCTCCGTTGGCTTGCCGTACAAGGCAAATATGCCAGGCAGTCTCTTAGCGATCAGCAGCATCGTCAGGGTTTTTGGAGAGGTTTGCTCCTGCTAGGAATAGAATCTCAACATTGGTGCTCCAAATTGAATAATGGCCTACTGAGCCATTTCTTATTACACCGCAAAGAATTGCCATAAGCAAAATTTTCGCCTATGACACTGCTTTAAGCTTTTATGAATTGGCATCGTATTAATCGTCGATAGACCGGATGTTCACTCATTTAGGTAAATAATTATAAATTCTATGGAATGGATTAGGTGAGGTGTGAAATTTTAGATGCCTTGGACAATGTTATTTATAATATTTTTATTTATAATAATTTTCATCCTTCAAATTCAAATTAAAATAGTCCGATTATCAACGAATGCATTTTAATTTTGAAATGAAATTCTAATTTCGCAACAAAACAACAACGTTGAGTAATTTATAGTGAACAATAATTGTGGAGAAATGAAAATCCCAAAATTCCACCATCCACCACGCACTAAGTGATGAATACTGTTTAAAAAGCCTAGTAACTAGTACCATTCGCATTACAAGAGCTCGATGATTAGCAAACCAATAACATTTTATAAATGATCGCATTGGTCATCTGAATATCAAACATATAAACCATTAGCACGCCAAAGCTCTATATTTCGAGTGTGTATTTCGAGTGTTGAGTATTTAAAACTAAGCCACTTTATCAACATTTTCGGCAAATTTGTAAAATGTCAGAAAGCAATGTCATTAGTACTTTGTCAAAATTGCATAATTGCATTGATCTCAGTTTAATAAAGTCAGTCAGTCAGCCAGTCAGTTATCAGTTGTATCAGTAAGAAACTCCACCAAGAACATCATCTTTTCCACCCTTTCAACCAGGTCAGAAGATTCCCGTGCTTAAGGAGATAAAAACATTCAATTAATTAATGCACTTTTAGATATTGGAACTCAAACATCATACACTACAATCTCTCGTAAAGAAATTAGCGTGCTATTGTTTAGCGTAATGGCGTAATTTCCAGTTTTCAATCTAAACAATCGGCAACGCAATTTTCAACTATAATAAAACTTAACTTTTTTCATAATAATAGTACCAGTCGAAGCACTATCAAATGTTGCACTTTTTCCCACCCCTCTCCCAGCCCCCCCCCCCTCTTGCTCCCTCTATTGTCGCATTTAAATATGTTAAATATGTAAATACTAGAAGAAAATATATACTAGAGTTCCATTATAAATGCATTTTAATTAGATAATATCAATTTGATTGGCATGAACTTAAGTTAAATTTGTTTTTCATTTCTCAAGTACAAATGGAGAATAAGTAGTACCATTATTTTTATCAAAATAGGACAAATTTCGATGGAAAATTTTCACATATGAGACACGCGAACCACAATCAATTGCTAAAAGCTCATTCGCTAGTCTTCCACTTTCATAAAACATGATGATAGTATTAATTTCTGAAATTCGGAAAACATTAGAATTATAAACTTTGAACGAATAAAAAATGGCGAGATAATCCTACAAATTTTTGCTGACGGTACTGAACGGTACTCTATTTTATGGTTCTGAAAAACCAAATTTAAAAATTTAATTTAAAAAGTTTCAATAAAATTCCAAATTTTGGTTTTACTTATTTTACGAGAATAATATTATTTACGAATAGTCTTAATCCAACTTAATTGAAATTATGCCGAAAATAATTATTTTACTACATATGTATATTTTACTGGTCATTATTGCTTACTGAAATATGGTGGAACAAAATTACTGGTTTCTGACACCCCGGTAATTGCGCAAAAACGATTTCTTGCTTCTGCAAATCGGAAATTATACCCTTAAATGATATAATAAAGTATAAAGTGAATATTACAGAGTTTTTTATGGCTAAAAGAATTTTTCCCTTGTGGCTTTCATTTGATACTAATTTGAAAAATTTTAATTCATCACTTAACAATTATCGCGACGATAATGATAACTGATTTTGATAAATGATAAATAAATGGTAAAAAAGATAAACGAAAGAAACGAACAACAGTAAACATATAGCATTTATTTTTGCACCTTTAAAATTCTAATTATTAATTACGATCCCAAAAAAAAACTGATATAAACTATTATTAATATGGTCAATTTAAATTACTAATTTCTAAAGATATTTTATTAAAATATGTGATGATTTTAGTTTATTGCATGGATTTAAACTTAAAATATTAATACCAATTATTTTTCTACTAACACTAAGATTTTTCCTATAAATATTATCGGTGAAAAAATACTTATAAGATCGACATTTTGATGAAACATCGCAACAGAATTGTTACCTTATAATTGTCAGGTACCATTCAGGATATTTTATACGACTTATCTACCATTGGAATCTTATACTCCTCATATAACATTGTTGATATTTGATATTTGAAATTAATAAATATACCGAATCATTGGCAAAATTCTTGTGCAAATCGCAAAATGAATTATTTAAAAATTTGTGTTAGTGATTTATTATCAATTTATCCATTAGTACATTTGGTTATTCGATAATAAAATAGTAATATACAATTCAAAAAAAAAAATGAAACTTATTAAATATAATGTTATTAAATATAATAATAACGATAATTTGACGTATAAATAGAATTTTTTTTTTTATAATTAAAGAAATTTGGACTGAAATTGGATTAAAATTGCCGTCTCTATTGAATTTACCTTCGGTAGCATGAAATATTTAAAAAATGCGCTTATTAAATTAATAAATTTACCTTCAATAAATAATAGCTTTTACTTGAACATTTTTTATAATTTTTAAATACATTCTAAGCATTTATTAGGCGATAGTTAATAGAATTTATTTGTTTTTTCTATCATTTCTATTTCACAAGTTCGCCTACCTTTCTTTGCGATTTCCTCTCATAACAAGTATATTCTATTTTAATTTGGCTAATTTTATTGGCTTTTAGGATAAAATAATAAAAGAACGATCTCATTACTGAATCATTAGGAGGTTTTAAGTGAAATACAGGTAGACTTTCATAGTACCATTCGAATTTCGCTTGTTATCATCGGTTTATCATTTGTTTGTTTCTAAAAATTCGAACAAGTCTGTTTGTACAGATTTCTTATTTTATTTTTCATTTAATGAATAGAATTATTTCAATTTTATTATTATTTTAAAAAAAAATATGAATAAATGTAAATAAATAAAATTAAATATGAAATAAAATAATTAAAATGAATGAACAAAAATTAATCAAACAACTACAAAATAAATTTTAATAAATTTAGCTGGAGGCAAAAATAATTCCTTATTAATGGCTTTTTAAATTTCATATTTTATTTTATTTTTTCCAATTGCGCCCTTCTCTTCTTTTCTATTTTTCTACTAACGTTTGCTCCACTGGTTTTTTTATCGAATGAAATTTGCCCAGAGACTCACTTGGCGATCGAAATATACAAGTGGAATCGCCAGCCATCACTTGGATTTTTTAAAAACAGATTCATAATGGTAGTAGAACTGCTAGCATCAGCGTTCCGACGGTAAACTATGTAAACTTTTCCAATAATTAAAAAAAACAGCTAAAAGTGATTTCGTGCATGGCGCTCAATCCCACATTTCATATTGGCTATTACTATAGCAGCAAAATTATAGCACTCGTCATTTTTCTATCTTTTCTATTAAGTCTAAATGTTTACGAATTAGACTTCTTATAAAAAGTTAATTTTTTGGTTATTCATAATAAAAAAAGAACGCTAACGCTATAAATATTTTGAGAATTAAGCAAACAGTCATAAGTATTGGGTCCGTTCCTATTAGTGCGCTGAAATAGTTAATATTCATGGATTAGACCATTCCATGGTTCGAGCTAAGATTCGCAGGATCTTCCACTTTCTTTCAACTATCTCAAATTTAAAAAAAAAATTCAAGACAGTGAGCGCATTTCGAATTGAATCATTGAATTATTGAGACATTTCAGTGAAATGGATATTAATGATATCTCTGGAGCTGTTGATAAATACTGGTAACAACTAAAGGCTTTCCAAAAGTCAGCCACTTTCATATTAGGAAATATGCTAGCTGGATATCGAAAGCATCTAGTCAATTGTCTGAAAAGACTACCAAAGGAGGAACGTCATCAGGAGATTCTAAGTACCGAACGCTTCGAAAAATTATAACGATAGTAGCTTGGTTGAAATGGGGCGATATTGCCTTGAAAACGAAAACGACAGCTCCATGAGACGATCATAGGAAGTATTTCGCCTTCTTTATAAAGCAACTATAATTTGGGAGACGATTTAGTGAAATGATGCGGGATAGTAATGGTGTGCTTGTTGAGGGTCGCCTCATAAGGTGAAAGGAATTTTATGAGACCAAACTTAACCACGATACACCTTCCTGTTATCCCGGACATAGTTGATTCATTCGCAGGGCCATATGTATATAACTGCGAATCACCAAGAGAATAGGAAATATGTCATCCAGAAGCATAAGGTCAATAAAACCAATAAAACTCACGGTGAAGATGATCATCGAGTGGTTGAACATTTCAAATCCTTTCCATCATCTATCATTCATCTTCCATTGTTCTTCATATCCTCCTTCATATTCTTCATACCTGTAATAAATGTGTTTTCCAGTATGGAATAAAGAAATAACACCAGCTGATTGTTGCAAAGCGATTCTGCTCCCAATTCCCGAAAATGATGACAGGACGAGCTGGGACAATTGTCATCAGAAATCAGCCTACTGGACATCTCCAGGAAAATCTTTGCTTCCCACTGAGTAGACTTATGGCTTTGCGATATTTGCCATAACATATCTAGATTCAGACTGAAATGCGGTTATGCAGACCAGTTATTCACGTTAAGCGGTATGTTAAAAACACCAGAAACATCTCGCTATTCATTGCATCTGAGCAGCTGCTTCCAGCACGACACCTTGGAGGACGATGCAATGTGATAGTGTTCCAAAGAAGATCATTCAATCTACATAGGCATTACACAAGCATACATCGGCATAGGTCTGTGGGGAACTAGCAAAATAAGGAATGATGTGATGTTCTTTCCCCTACAGTATTCTACTATGCGATAGATTGGAAAATCGATTATCGGCACTCAAGAGGTGTGCAAATCAGTTCATAATATATACAGTACCACAGATATTGAATACGCTTATGATTTAGTCATTTTTCCTTACAGCTGTGAAGAAATACAAATAATGCTAAATAATGTATTAACAGTAATGAAAACCATTCTTTGTCTAAGCCCAGGCTAATTCAACAATACGCTCAAAATCTTTCCTGTTCGTATCAATTTAGGCCTTGATTGATCCACCTTATTTTTGACGCCAACCATCATAGGGTTTAGCAAATAACGAAATATGCATCAACTCCTGTGGTGGACGAACGAAAAACATGCCCTAACCAGGGAAGGCGACGCTTGTGATAACATTATTAATGCAAATGGTGTTGGAACGAAGGTGGATGCGATTATGTGAGATTTTATCCGCTCGATGGACCCGTAAAATATATCTTAGATGTATCAAAGTCAATGGTCAAAGTCGGATAACTTCTTAAAATCTTCCACTCTCATTGACCATGTCTCGTAGCCATATAGCCATGCAAATCTCAGCAAATTTTTATTAATAAAAATAATTTTATAAATTAATTTAAAGTTTTATGCAAATTTTCTCGCTTTGCCATTGTTTATTTGTTTAAAAATTTTCACTATATTTTGCAACACAATTAAATAACTTATTATATTCGAAATAGGTTAATAAAAAAAAAGTACTTGCAACTTTTATAATTTTATTTTTTTAAAAATTTTTACAACTTTGTTGCTGTGATATTAAATACTATAATATGTATTGTATTGCGAAAAGATTTTTTTAAAGATTCAATCTCAATTTTAAATTTCAAATTTCTCTAGAAATATATGGAAAAATTCGCATCGGATTGTTTAGCCGCTCAAACCTTAGCGAATAGCGTATATTTTATTTTGTTGATAACTGTCGTAGCGATCATATCAATGATTGGAATAATTGTACAAATTATCATTATGAAAAAATATGTTATATGTATGGCAATTCATGAAAATACTCGAATACTTCTCGTTGCTCATCAGATTTATCTAATTTTACATTGCGTAGCAAGGTTATTACAATAAATATTTTATAGAAAATTTAAAAAAAAAAAATGAAAAATTACAATTATTATGCGCCAACTAGTGCAGTACCATGTTGAGAAAGGTTAGGTGATAGTTGATTAGCCCAAACTATCGTTGCGAGTTTTTGGTTTTGTCTCTGGCCGAGATAAAACTTATCACGTGGTACCGAAATTTAGCCCAATACTTTCGAATGAAATAATAGAAATATTTCTCATTCTACGTTAATGGAGAGAAACTCGTTAATGCTAATAATATCCCTTTTACTTGCTTATTTTTAGAAAATTTAGCATAAATATAGCGAATTTATTCAAATTTATGTTTAAAAAACAACCACAATTTTACTAATAAAATATTCATCATATATGTTTGGACTAAAATTTTCTTGGCTAACGAAACGTCATTAATCGTTTTATTAGAATTGTTGCCCATACAGCCGATCTCATTGTTTTCCATTGGAATTATCACGATCCATGTATGTATTTATCAACGCCATTAAGATGTTTTATCATTCGAACACCAATTACGTTTACATTCTATTCGATACCGTGTTCGATATTAGTATTAACCGCCGAAAGAGCTATTGGAACTTATCAGTCAGCAAAATATGAACGAATGGGTCGATCATTGGCATACATTTTGATTTTCATCGATGTAAATATTATTTTTTTCAATTTATAAAATTTTAAAATTATTACTAAAACATATTTATTAATAAAATTATATATAACGTTCATTAATAAAGTGCTCTTTTTTTTTTTAGATTTTTCTGCCAGCTGCTTTAGTAGTATTTACTTTATATGGCTTAGATACCTTTGGAACTACAAAAAGTCGAATATATTGCTCTTCAGTTGAGAAAAATAATTTGAAACGAGGCAACTTCGCAGCAGTAATTCTATTTCTAATCGAAATCGGCTCAGTTTTCTTGCTTCGTTTATTATTACACATAAATATGGTAAAAATCTTTTTTTTTTTTATCTTTTTATTTTCTAACAACAATCACTATTCCTTTTCAAATTAATTGATCTACGAAACTAAAGAAATTCGATAAAAGATTGTCGCGAAATGGCAAAAGCAAAATGACTACTTTGGAATCGGCTCACTCGCATTCCTTTTTTGAGTATTGCTCATTTGGCTTTGCCAATTTTCTCTCATTGGACCATTGGACCATTCATCGACATTTTTTAAATATATCTTCCTACTGTTATGGTACTTATCGCTTTCTTTATGCGTGTTATCGTCTCGTTTATTTGAATCTTTTTTGCTGATTCTATTTTTGTATGCCACTGAATTACAACCCATCACTCTAAACTTATAAAAAATGCCTCTTCATTGATCCATGATTAATCGGTAATTAATTTGTTAACAAGCTAAATGCTGGGTCGAATCCATTTTTTTTTTTTTTTACGACTCAATAGTAGTTTTTTGCCATTTCGTGGCAAAATAGAGATATTGATAAAGTCTCAGTTTTCAAACTCTTAATGAATTACATACAATTTCCATAAGCCTAATTATGGAAATGGATAAAAATATATTTAAATTATGTAAATTATATAAATTATATAAAATTATATTAAAAATATTCAAAATATTATATTGATCATAAATTCGGCTTAAATTACATTACATTGTTATTAATAAATTAATTAATAAATTACATAAATTATACTATAAAATTACATAAATTTATTGATTAAATGAATTACATTCGCCAAATCTTTGCGTAAACGACAAATTGTAGCGAATACGCCAAAATCGGATCGAAATTGATTTATCACAACGCTATCAGTTGAAGGAAAATATTACTTCGATTACTACTATTGCACCATTGATTTTGTGTCATTCGATTTTCTATTCGATCTTTTTATTAGCTTTTATCATTTATTTTGTAATAAAGCCAGCTTTTTCACAGGATGGTTTTGCCATTTTTCTTGAAAGTGGGTTTATATTACTTTTTTTCGGAAAAATTAATATACTGGTTGTAGATATTATATTTTGTGGGAATTTTGAAGAACAATTTTTTCCATTCAAACTATTTATCTTAGAAGAAACCATAAATTTAAGTGATAAAGTGATAAGTGATAAATTCAAATAAGTCAGTTGGTCTATTCAACTGCAAACGATATTATTCGTTCAGAATCCGATCTTTTAAAATTTTTATCGTTGAATTCTAATAAATTCTTAAAGAATTCACTTTTTAAGGTGTTCAATTAACGCCAGTTTATTCATTATTATTTGCGTTTGTGCTGGTTTATACGGAACAACGCGTAAAACGAAAAAAACAAATCGCTTTTAAGTTGGCCATGCAATTCTCGAAAAACGATGCAACTAATCATTATTTCGTAAGCTATTTATTCGCAATTCCATACCACTGTCATATTACTAAGGGTGGGATAGGAAGCAGAGAGGGTGCTGTCTAAGTGACCACATTCGGCACCGGAGAAACTGCCTCTGGCAAGATTAAACCTTCCTGATCAAAGAATTCGGGTAATTCTAGCGATTCACCTATTATTATATCTTCTGTTTGGTTTTTTCTCAACATGCCAATAGAACGATCCAAGAATAAATGATTACTACTTGTGTTTTTATTGCCTTGCCTATGCTATTTGTTTTTCTTGTTATTTCTCTCCCATTCAATTCCATATTAAATTATTCCTGTGAAATTTATATAATTATTAAGTACCGATCGCTGATATGTGTCTTAAGGATTTTTTGAGGACGTGCGCCATTTCAGGTTAAGTTGGTTCCATTAACCACTGCTCTCATGCACATTGCGGTTGTAATGAGAAGCAAGTCCTGATCAGTCCTGATCCACTATCCAGAATATTTGCCCGTAATTAGATTTAATCGTTCCTTATGATTTACAAATTTCAGGCAGATTTGTTCAAAAATTTGCAGAAAAATTAACTTACGACTTTAAGTGATAAACGCTTGAAGTGAGAAAAGCACAACAGTGATTAAATTTTGGTACTATAAATCGATAAATCAAAAGAACTTGAATACTTTTATCTTTATTCTCCATTATTATGGATATCATTTTCCTGTGGAAATTTTGTGGTACTTAATTGATTGAAATATAAATTTTTTAAGAAAAGTGAATAAAATAATAAAAAAATCAAAAATTTCAAAAAAAAGTTAAAATTGAGTTAAATTTTTCAAATAAAAATAATGCAAATTTTGCTAAAACTGTAAATTGCTGATTGACAATTTTTTTTCACAAATCATTTTAAATAATTTTATGAATGAATGATTTCATTAATTTTAGTAATTTTACGAGTCTATTAGGAAAATAAGTGGCGAGCACTCAACATTTCCTTCCCAATTTGCTAACTATTAGTGCGCTTAGAAATTTTTATGAGAAAGTTGTTCGATGTATGAAATACGTTTGAGACGCCAAATACCACCCGGATTTTTCAGTTCTCCCAAATCTCTTCTCTCGTGCCAAGGCTAAATTCAAGCTTTTGCCTTCCAACACCATCGTCTAAACAAATGTCCATTCGGATATTCTATTCCATTTATAAGTGCGCACTTACGGAAATAATTTTTTATTCTCAACATATTCAATATTTTTCTGAAATTTTTTTCATATTTACATTTTTATGTTTTTTTTCATATTTTTTTTATTACAATTTTTTTGATTATTTTTATTTTTACTATGTATTTGAAAAATTAAGCGATATATATGAATAATGTGGAAATTGGTTTGATTTTTTTGTGAAATTAAATAAAAAAATTTCTATGTTCGATTTGAAAAATTATTCATTCTTGACTGTGGCTCTGAAGCTTATTAGGTTAATTAGGTTAATAATTAGGTCAGTCTTCTTTCGTTAATTATTGTGTATTGATATTTACCGTATTCTAAGAGAATCTACAAATTGAGCTAAGCCTATTACTATAGAAAAGAATAGCAGAAAAAATAAAAAGTAATAATGCCTTCATAATACTACAAAAGTGATCTTCCCCAAGGGTCTCTTTAATGAACCTCAATGATTCTTTCCGGGGCGTCCTTGAGATATATATTTTGAGAGCATTGGCTTATAAATAATAAATAAATAATATAAATAATAATACCATTAATTTATTACATTTTCACTTCAACAATTTTATTAATTATAATTTTTCTATTTCAATGAACACATTCGTTATTTCGCCACAAATAGGTTGATCTATTTATAGAAAAAATTTTTAGTCAAATAATATAAAATTTATTTTCTGAATCGTTTAATAAAAGGGACGGACTTGGAAGGACATAGAGGGATCCACTGGCATGCTGTTTCGAATAAGGATAAACCATCAGATTGGTTTATTGAAGGAAGAAAATTTTTTTATTAAAAGTGAAATCAAAATGATATTGGAGATATGTTGGTAATTTTGGTTCTCAGGAAACACTATGGTGAAGAGGTGCCATTCCAATAGTCTCCAACATAAGCATCCGAAAATATCAATTTATCAATTATCAATTTATCAATTTGTTGTTAACATGGCTATTGCTACTATTATTTATCATTATCAATTTTATCATCTTATTATTCTTATTCGTATTATTAATATCGTTATTGTAGTATCGGTTGCTAATCTACTGCTATTACTATTGCTGCTTCTATTGCATGATATTTAATTGCTGTTTATTTTAATAATAAGGCCTTCTTTCAACTATATCCATCACTTTTGACTTGGCTGTTTGCATTGGTGGCTACTAATATAAAAAATATTTTTTTTACTTACAAAAATATAAATTTATTTCCATAAAAAGTTGAAATTAGCGAAATTTGCATATCATAAAAAATAAGCTTAAAAAAAATAAATCATAAATTTTTAGGAAATATTTTAGCGAAATATAAGAAACCTAATAAGAAATATAAGAAGAAGAAATTGGTTTAGACGACGACGTTGAAAGGCAAAGGCTCCGAAAGAACTTTGTAGTGAAAAATCCTGATGTGCTAACGTGCAATCTAAATTTCAGCCACCAAGAGTTTCTGATAGAAATTTCTTATTATACTAACAGTTAGCGGTTCAGGAAGAAAATTTTGAGCACTAAGTATTTATTTGACATTCTAATTTGCTATGCTCGGAAAAATTATTATTGAATTCATCAATTTTCTATCATTTTAAATTGTTTGATTTATTAAATTGTCAAAAAATTTATAGTTTGAATATGATTTGTGTAATATAATTAATATAATTGTATAATTTATAACTATAATAATAGTAATAATATAACTATAATATAATAATATAACTGTATAATTTTAAGAAATTTGTTTCTCATTATTTTTTTTGATAATTTTGATAAAAATAATAGTTTTTTCAAGTTTAAAACATTGAATTAACTATGTCACCACTAAAAATGATAAGCATATTAGTTGAAAACGATAATATTTGTTAGTTTAGCTCTAAATGGTACCAACATTTCGTTATTTCGATACATAATTTTTCTCACCTTTATCGCTCACGCTTGTGTTTGCTTGCTTGTTTGCATACTTTTGAATAAATTTTCCTGAAAATTTCATAAATTAACAGTAAAATATATAAATATAAAGACTAATAGACTAATGTAAAAAACTGGGAAAACTGGTTGGTATTGAGGATTTACTTCTAATTCCATCTCTGAATGACTATATTGCGGAAATGCATTATCTTAATGGTTAATGGAACCATTTGTCTTAATGATAGGTACCATCAGAAGAAGAATCCATCCAGATCGAAAGATGTGTTTTCTCCCGACTTCATTAATCAGGAGTATTTTGAATTATGCAAATGAGGAGAAGAGAGATAACAAAATAGTAAGTTTGACATGAATTTGAAAGTAATAAAAGCTAGTTGTTACCACTAATCATTTCTGCTAGAATCTCTATATTTAGTTATGAGGAAAAACCAGGAATTCATCAAGGATGACTAAAAAGAACCAAGTGAAAAATAACTTTGCCACGAGCCTTACCAGAACTATTTCATTCTCATCAGATGCAAGAACTCTAAAGCTCAAACTCTAACGCTTACCTAGATAACAATCACTTGGCTAATTTTCTCTGCTATTACTATTACTTCATAAAAAACACAAAAAAAAAGCATCGTACAAAATAATGATTAGTTGCATCGTTTTTCGAAAATTGCGTGGCCAACTTAAAAGCGGTTTGATTTTTGCGTTTTACGCGTTGTTCCATATAAACCAACACAAACGCAAATAGTAATGAATAAACTGGCGTTAATTGAACGCCTTAAAAAAGTAAAATTCATTAAGAATTTATTAGAATTTAACGATAAAAATTTTAAAAAGATCGGATTTTGAACGAATAATATCGCTTGTAGTTGAACAAATCAACTGCCTTATTTGAATTTATCACTTAAATTTATCACTTTATCACTTAAATTTATAATTTCCTCTAAGATAGATTTATGAAAGTTTATTATGTATGAGAAAGAAAAACAAATGAAAATTTATGAAATTTGTAAATTTATGAAATTTATGAAATTTATAAATTTATGAAATTTATTAAATTTGCAAAATTTATTCCCTAAGATTGCCATAGCAATAAATATGTCTATAACCAGCATATTAGCATTTTTTTTCCAAAAAAATTGATAAATACTTACCTTCGAGAAAAATGGCAAAACGATCTTGCGAAAAAGTTGGTTTTACTAAAAAATATACGATAAAAGCTAATGTAAAGATGCAATAGAAAATTGAATGACATAAAATCAATGGTGCAATAGTAGTAATCGAAGTAATATTTTCCTTCAACTGATAGCGTTGTGATAAATCAATTTCGATCCGATTTTGGCGTATTCGCTACAATTTGTCGCTTAGATTTATTTAGAAAATATTTAGCAAAAGTAATTTATGATAATTATATATTAATAACTCTTTTTTCGATTTGGCTCGAGTCAAATCGGCGCATCTCAAAGGTTATGTCGCACCATTGCAAATTACTCTTCCCATTCAGAAGGATCCGATCTACCTAATCTTTTTATTATTGGCAATATAATTAGACGAGTTTCAAATATCTCAAATCTCTTGGTATAATCTTGGACGAAAATCTCAGTTTTGACCTTTCTTGCAGAACCATAGTAAAGAAATAAATAATAAAAAAAGTAATAATAAAAAGAAAACAATTTTAAACTTTATTTTTCAGTCGTTTAAAAACAGAAATCAAAGCCTTTTTATCAAAATATACAAAGCATTCGATCGGCCTAAAATGCAATTTTTTATATCCCCTAGATATCACGAGTAATTTGATTGAAAGACCCCAAAAATGCTTTGTGCATCGACTCTCACCTGGCAACAATCTCAGTTATAAAGTTCGGCTTTAATTTTACAACCTAAACACACTTTCAATTCATCGAATTAAGCAAGATTTAATTTATACATATAAAATGCTATATGTCAAATTAGATTGTTCAATATATTGTATATATTTTAGAAATTAAATTAAGATAATATTAAATTATGACCCAATAAGATGGAATGGACTAAAATTTGTAAAGTCGAAATGAAGGCTAAGGACGAATGATTTTTTAATTCACACAATTGATTACTGCAATAAACTGTAATTTATGCACCATTCTCAGCTATTTTTTAAAAAATGATTAAATAACTTCTTTTTCTTGTTCTAACAGCTCTAACCATTACTGGTTAGGCTGGCTCAAACGGTTATTAGAGTAAGACGCATCCAAGCGGAGCGGTCTGATGCCATCGTCGACAGTAATAGCCATTCCTTCTTCTCATAAGTCTTATAAGTCCATATATATCGTCTAAGTCCTGGTCTTTCTATGCATATTTCCTTTCCTTTCTTTCCTGACCGTATCAGTCCAGGTCTTGGTTGACCCATCTCGTTTTTGACACCAGCCATCATAGGGTTTAGCAAGGAAAGAAATATGCGCCAACTCCTGTGGTGGATGACGGAAAACGTGCCCTAACCAGCGAAGGCGACCGACGCTCTGTGATAACATTATTAATGCAAGTGGTATTTGAAGGAAGATGGAAGCGATCATGTGATATTTTTCCTCATGATATATTCGTAAAATGTTTCTTAGACAAAGAGTGATCAAAGGCAGATAACTTTTTAATATTCTCCACTCTCATTGGCCATGACTCAAAGCCATATAGCAAGGTTGAATGAATCACGGTTTTATAGATGCGGACTTATGGCAATATCACGACGGTTCCATAAGAGTTTCGTTAACCGGAAAAACGCATTTTTTCATTTCTTGCTGCCGTGAACCAGGCTATAATATCGTCTTTTGCCGGGCCATTTGGTATTAGAGTAGATCCAAGGTATTTAAAATCGGGCACTTCCTCAACCGGTAATGAATTTATAAAAAGAGGCATTTTATTAGCTTCTAACACATAAGACGAAAAGATTTTCGTTTTATTTACATTGACCGATTCTCTCTGCAGTCACTGACACGTTATTTAGCATTTACTCATTTACTTGCATTTCGTCATAACTATCAGCAAAAAAGGACTACATTAAATAATATCATCCATGATATTGTTCAAAAGCTTCACATAATTCAAATAGTCTGAAACTTTTATCTTTTATCCTCTAATTGTGTGTCAGTGATAATATTCAGTTTGAATTGAATTATTCTTTAATTCCCCTTTATTTTCATTATATTAGTTGTTCTTCGGTCCTTTTGTATATCATAAATCGCTCATTAATTTCTTTTTATTCACTATATTTTGTTATTATTAATATTAATATAAGCACATTGTTTTTGTCGCAATTGCTTCATTGTTTCAAATAAAAATTGTATAATATTGATGTTATTTTGAATATTTTAAGCGAAACTTGTCCATTTCCATAATTAGGCTCTTCACTTTGTGTAGATTTGTACATAATCCAGCAGCTATGCCTCATTTTCAAATATAAAAATTTTAAAAGATCGGATTCTGATTATTAATCTGATTATTAATAAAACCGAGCTGAGAACCGAGAGCCGAGAATCTGTGGTTCCAATTTTAATTGGCTCTATCTAATTTTAAAGCTATTCGATGTGGTAAAAAATATTTACCACTAATAAAAAATAAAAGATATAAATTAATAATGCTTGAAAATAGTACTATATTTATATGTAGTAATAAACGAAGTAAGAAAATTGCGGCAATTTCCATTAGAAACAAAATAGTTATCATAATTGCGCCTCGACCGGAATTGTTTTTATCAACTGATGAGCAGTATATTTCACTTTTCGTAGCTTCAAACATATCTGCATCATGAATAATTACAATTAAGACTATTGCTAGAACAATCTGAAAAATAAACTTATCAATGGCCACTATTTAATATGAAAAATTTGATAAGCTTAATAAAATATACTTCGCATAAAATCAAAATGTACGCCACTAATCGACCCATTCGTTCATATTTTGCTGACCAATAAGTTCCAATGGCTCTTTCGGCGACCAATAATAACATCGAACACGGTAATATACAAAATGTAAACGTAACTGGTGTTCGAATAATAAAACATCTTAGTGGCGTTGATAAATACATACACGGATCGTGATAATTAAATTTGTAGATAATGAGATCGCTAGTGTGGGCAACGATTCTATAAAAATAATCGATTATAATTTTTGCAATACTAACCAAATTTATGGCAAATATTTATTATAAAAATTTTCTATTTTTGTAATTAAAATTGTGATTTTTTCAAGTCTAAATTTAAATAAATTCATTTGTGTTGCATTTCTGCACCATTTTTGTATAATGAGTAAAAAAGCAAATAAGTTGGTGCTTATAAACTGGGAAGAGATGTGTGCATGTGGAACTTTAACCTATCATCCTTCAACCATTTTTTAGCTCTATCTCGGTCAGAACCAAGGTTCGAGACGTGTGACAATATTTCAAGTTATTCGGCTCTGTTTTGTCGATTTTATTTGTAAATATAATTCATTTTTTATAATAATTTTTAATTTATAATTTAATTTTTTCAATTTTTTAGGACATTTAATACTATAACCTTGCTACGCAATGTAAAATTAGATAAATCTGATGAGCAACGAGAAGTATTCGAGTATTTTCATGAATTGCCATACATATAACATATTTTTTCATAATGATAATTTGTACAATTATTCCAATCATTGATATGATCGTTACGATAGTTATCAATGAAATGAAAAATACGCTATTCGCTAAGGTTTGAGCGGCTAAACAATCCGATGCGAATTTTTCCATATATCTCTAACAAATTTTGAAATTTAAAATTGAAGCTAATCAGAAAACTATTCAAAAAGCAATATATTCTAATATATTTGACGCCATAGCAACGTTGTAAAAAATTTTAAGAAAATAAAATTCTTCGCGAAAGTTGTAAGCACTTTTTTATTCACCTATTTCGAATGAATATAATTGCAATAAATGAATAAATGAATGAATATAATAATGAATATTTAATTGCAAGAAAAATTTATAAAATATAGTGAAAATTTATCAACAAATAAGTAATGGAAAAACGAAAAGATCTGCATAAAAATTTTATAAATAAAATTTACAAAATTCTTTAATTTCTATTAATAAAATTAATTTGCTGAAATTTGCATATGGCTATATGGCTATGAGACATGGCCAATAAGAGTGGAAGATTTTAAGAAGTTATCTGACTTTGAACACTCATGTACATTTACATTTTACGGGTCCGTCGAGCGGATAAAATTTCATCTGATCACATTCACCTTCATTTAAATACCACTTACATTAACAGTGCCATCATAGAGGGTCTGCTTAGGGAACGTTTTTCGTCATTTACCACATAATATTACATATATTTCGTTACTTGCTAAACCCTATGATGGTTGGCATTAAAAACGCGATAGACCAATTAAGAACTGGACCGGTCATAGAAGAAAGAAAGTACGCATAGAATGACCAGCAATGGACTTGTACGATGGAAAAACGAATGTTTCTATTACTGTCGACGATGGCATTAGACCAGCCTAATCACCAGTCTAGTTGACAGCTATTAGAAGAAGAAGTAGATTTGCAAATTCATAACAAAATAAACCATATTATTTATTAAATATAATAAATAATAAAAATTTGGTGAGCAAAACGAATAGCAACGATTTATTGACGATTAAAATAGGTTAATAGCTAGGAAATATAAAAATAAAAATTTAATTTAAAAATTAAGAAAATTTAACGAATTAAAATGGATTTTAAAATTGAAATATATCTATAAATGGTAAAAAGTAATTAGTGAAGTAAATGATATCTGAAAAAAAAAACGAAATTGTATTAAAATAATTATTATTAAATAAGATATTATCGATATATTATCGATAATTTTATATTTTATATTTTTATAATTTTATATTTTTATTTTTATAACTTAGAATAAAATATTAATAAAAAACAGTTTGTATCAAAAATTAGCACAACGCAAAGAAAAATTATGAGCTATAGCATTAGACTTTATTACAGTGGGTTATTATTTCCACAAGTCTTCTTCTAATAGCTTTCACCATTCACTGATTGTATTTGATCCGCTATCTAAGAATTTTTCTAAGCAAATTTGTAGTGAATTATTATTTTTCACTATTTACTATTATTATTATTCAACTACTGCTTAACAACTTATATTATTACTACTTATAGTCCTATTACATATTATGAATAAACAAGATTTCATGCACATCAAACTTAACATGCATGTAATTCCCGAAATTTTAGCTTAATGTCTTTCTAAATTGTTAATAGAAAAGAAAGTAAAGGGCGAGAGTTATGTACCATGTTAATAATTAATACGAGATGTGGGATTGAGCGCCGTCCAAAAAACTACATTTAGCAGTTTTTTTTAATTATTGGAAAAGGATATATATAAATTCCGTCGCTGTCATTTCGGAGCACCGATACTAAATACCTAAGATTAAATGTTTTTAATGTGTTATATATTTAATCATTCAATAATTTACCCTAATAAATTTGGCCAAACCATCTTATCACATATTTTTTTTATGATAAAAGCCATCACCATTTCATGAAAGAAAAAATTAGGTGTTAAGCATTCATATAGCAAAGTTTGTGGTTTACATATGTTATATTTAAAAATTTTCCATCGAAATTGGTCCTACTTTGATAAAAATAATGGTACTATTCATTCACCATTTGTATTTGAGAAATGAGAAAAAAATTCACGCCAATTAAAACTGATATAATCTAATTGAAGCGCATTTATAATGGAACTGTAGTATATATATTTTCTTCCAGTTTAACATATTTCAATGCGACAATAGAGGGGGGGGGGGGGGGGGGGGGAGAAAGTGCAACATTTGATAGTGCTTCTATTAGTACTATTATTATGAGGAAAAGCTAAACTTTATTATAGTTGAAAATTAAATTACCGATTGTTTATGTGGAAAACTGGAAAGTATATCATACTAAACAATACCACACTAATTTCTCTACGAGAGATTGTAGTATACGATGTTTGATTTCCAATATCTAAAAGACATAGTGCATTAATTAATTGAATGTCTCCCTAAGCACGGAAATTTTCTGACCTGGTTGAAGGGGTGGAAATGATGACGTTCTTGGTGGAGTTTTTCATTGAGTTATTAGACATGAACGACTGACTGACTGATTGATTGACTCTATTGAACTATTGAACTGAGATCTACAGAATTTTAACAAAGTACTAATGACATTGCTTTCTGACATTTTAGAAATTTGAAAATGTTGATAGAGTGGCTTAGTTTTAAATACTCAGCACTCGAAATATAGAGCTTTGGCGTGCTAGTGGTTTATATGTTTGATATTCAGATGACCAATGCCATAATTTATAAAATGTTGTTAGTTTGCTAATCATCGAGCTCTTATAATGCGAATGGTACTAGTTACTAGGCTTTTTAAACAGTATTCATCACTTAGTGCGTGGTGGATGATGGAATTTTGGGATTTTCATTTTTCCACAAGTTATTGCCTCTCTATAAATTGCTCGACATTGTTGCTTTCTTGTTCCGTGACCCAGTTTACTAATAGCTCTTCAGCATTCACTGCGTCTACTGCGTCTCCTTCTTGCCAAAATCGTTTAAATGATATGATTCCCTACGATTCCCTCACTATTGCTGCTTAAATTTTCTTTCTCATTATTTTGCTTTCTAATTTCTGTTCACTTATCCTTCAACAATAGTTTTTAAGGTCTCTTATAAGAGAATAAAACAAAAAAATAATTCATTTTGTTGAGACTTATAAGATTTCGATTGTCGATTTTGGCTTTAAAATTGTGGCTTTACAATCCATTTATCGCCGATCGAATTTCTTTTGTTTTGCTTTTATTTTATATTTTGGAATTGGAATTAATTCTATCTAAAATCGAAATGCACATCTCAATAATAATATTTTCGCTTTTTTTTTCGATAAAATATCCGAGTTTTATTTATTTTAAACGTTGGATTATTCAAATTTCTTTACCATTATTGGTTAGAATCGCTCCACCGGTATGTCGCACTGGGCAAATATGCTAGGCAATCTCTTAGCGATAGAAATAAGTATTGATGAATTAACAGTATCACGCGGATTTTTGTATAGGTTTACTCCTGCGGAGAATCGAACCTCAGCAGCGATGCATCGAATTGAGCAACAACACATTGAGCCATTCTACTCTCATTTGTTTTTCTTATTTGTAGGCGTTAGTAATGCACGATGAAGAGTGGTACAACAGAGTGGATTCGAAACCAGGTTTCGATTCTTGGTGGTAATTTTCTTCACCGAGGCATCTTCCGATTCTATCATTCAAGCCCAACCCAACATTGCTTAATTATAAATCTGAGATGTCGTGTTAAATTTCTAAAATTTCAGTTAAATTTATGCGCTCCATTTCATTGTTTCATTTATTAATGCCTTATTAATGGATTGTGAAATTGGAATTTCATCCCAAAAATAAAATACACTCGTTGATGATCGGATTGTTTTAATTTGAAGGATCAATAATATTATAAATAACATTATCCAAGGCATCTAAAATTTCACACCTCACCTAATCCATTCCATAGAATTTATAATTATTTACCTAAATGAGTGAACATCCGGTCTATCGACGATTAATACGATGTCAATTCATAAAAGCTTAAAGCAGTGTCATAGGCGAAAATTTTGCTTATGGCAATTCTTTGCGGTAAAATAAGAAATGGCTCAGTAGGCCATTATTCAATTTGGAGCACCAATGTTGAGATTCTATTCCTAGCAGGAGCAAACCTCTCCAAAAACCCTGACGATGCTGCTGATCGCTAAGAGACTGCCTGGCATATTTGCCTTGTACGGCAAGCCAATGGAGCGCGTCTAACTAGTAACGTTGAATGCTATTTAAAAAAGTGAAATACGGAATTAAATTTTTCAAAATTTATATAATTCTTATAAAATGAATCTTTATTTACGATTACGGGAAATCCTCATAGAATTTTTCTTAATTTTTTATCTAATTTCCGTTTCATCAAATAGTCTTTATTTTTACTTTGGAAAGTTCCACTGATTATTAAAGTAAAACGTTAAATGGACCTTTCGGGAGTCAATTCGTGATAGGCCAGTGACTACTAATGATTATCAAAAGCCCTCAACAATCGCTTTATTCATCGCTTATCTTTCGTCATATCGTTTTTTCTTTTAAATCACTGTTACAATTCAATGGTTCCAATGGAATACTCGCCAAAAAATTTAGAAAAAAAATAAATTAACACAAACATTCGAAATAATTTCCACAATTTTTATTGTGGCAATATGCAATAAAAATTTCCAAAACATCTATGAGCAATAAAACAATAAATCACAAAAAAACCGTCCAACGATAATTTAATAAGTTGTATTTTTTATAAAAAGTTACAGTTCAGATTTTTGTTCAATTTTCATCAGTTCGACATCGAATTTAAGAATCGCATTTGCTGAAATAATGATTTTCGAAATTTTTCATAATTTTTGGTGACAAAAAGTAAAAAATAAAAGTAAATGATAATAGCGACGCTATGTTCTTCATAAGGTATCAGAAAAATGAAAAAACCATTCATGGAAACAAAAAAAGTGAACGCCCATTTCGATTTTCGAAGAAATATTCTTACTTTTAATACTAATCTGTTAAACGAGATTAATAAATTTTTAAATCGCATTTTTAAAAAAATTTTACCCAATTATTTTTTGTCGCTAATTTGAAAAAAATATTCATCATTTATTGTAAAAAATTGAAAAAAAAAGAAAAAGAAATAGAAATTAAAAATAAAAAAAAGTATTATACATACGTGGAATCTTTGGTGGTGCGCCATGTTCGCCATAACCGAGTTCCGGTGGAATAGTTAGACGTCGCTGTTCTCCTTCGCACATATTTAATAATCCCTGATCCCAGCCCTTCAATATTTTAGAATAAATTGAGCGGTATTATTGAGAAGTTTTTTTTTTAAGTTTTTCAGTAGAAATAGAACTTCGTTTGAAGTTCTCAATTTTCAGCACCTTAATCACCTGTCCCATACCAAGCGTAAACATAAATTCTTGATTACGTGCACGACTACTGTCGAATTCAGTTCCATCTTCAAGCGTTCCCTGAAAATTTTAACAAATTTGAAGATTTAAGCTATTGGCATTCGGCAATTTTCGGTTGCATTTTCCATTAATAACTGAAAATAATTTTGCCAGAAACTTGTAGGATTTTTGGTTGTAGCGTTTTCAGCACAAACCGGATTTTACCCCTTAATTCACTACAGAACTATATGCGAAGTGATAATCTAAGCAATAATCATTCAGGAATACTACTATTTTTTATTCTAGAGATGATAATATTAAGAAAATCATTTAAATAAAAACTAAAAAATAATGAACTAAGCATCGTACACCTGAAATTACTCGGCATATCACTGCACGACGGCTGAAATCATATTTTTCGGTTAAGGCCAAACAAGAATTCTCTTCATCTAATATCTAATGAAAGTGCCATTAAAAGTAAACCATCTCTATTTCAAACCTCAAGAAATTTCATTTCTGATGAAAAAATTTTTTCTTAATTAATGAGAAAAACCAAGAACGTTACGAAAAAAAATAGATTTTTTTTTTTTTTGAAATTCGACAGTTTCAAGAATTTATACCATTGTGAATTCCCAAAAGAATAAATAGGAAAATCACCTCGCCTTTAAAAATTCAATTATCAACAACAAATATTCGGATAAAATTGCAAATAATAGAGAAAAAAAACACTAACCACATAATGCATATGAAGTCGATCACCTTTTTTCGATTTCCTAATACAATTTTCCACTCTTTTTTTCACGCCAATCTGTAACCGTGCAACTTTTTTCTCTTCGCAATAAATAAGAACAACTGTGAAAACTAATAAAAGAAAAGAAATTTCAGTTATCGCTCTCATATTGAAATTCCAATCTAAAATATAAAATTCTGTTATCAACTATAATAATAAACTATAACTATAATAAATATTATCATTTTTATGATTCCAGAAAAATTCATTTTGAAATCACTAATGATATAAACGCATGGTTTTTAATAAAATCATTAAACTAAGAATAAACAAGTATAAAAAAAAAATATAGAACATTAATCTAGAAAACAATGCTAATTATCAACTGATCGAATTGATAAAAAATCAAATTATTCTATATCGAAATCATATCAAATTTTTTAAAGAAAATTTAATGTTACCAAAAAAATAGCTTTAATTAATTCTAGATTAATTCTAGATGTTTGATACATAAACCTTATTCTAATAATAATAAAATAATAATAATGATAATAAACGATAATAATAAATAATAATAAATAATAGTAATAACAATAATAACAACAATAATAAAATAATAATAAATAATAATAAGCATAATAGTTTTATGAAATTATGAAATTAGAAAGAAAGAAAATTGCTTCGCTTGGCTTGAAAATAAAACATAACAAAAAATAAACAAAACAAAGAGAACTGATTTAAAAAATTGGATAATCAACGATATGAAAATTTCACATTTTCCTTCATTCTATATGGTTTCGAAAATTGTAAATAAAGTTCTGAGAAGAATAACAATTCATTTAAGTTGAAAATAAAAAATTTATAAAATATTTTATTTATAAAATATATATTTTATTATACATTAGAAAAAGGGAAAATAAATCGAAGAAAAAAAATGAAAAGGAAAAAATGATTAAAATGATAAAAAAGCTTTGTCGAAAATATACAAAAGTTGTTCTAATAGAATATTTGCTGAAAAATGAAAAAAGAAAAAAAATGAAAACTTATTTGTCATTATTTATTGCATTATTACAATGATAATAAGATTGGGAAAAAACTATGTGGTTCACCTCTATCCCTATTATTTACTTTAAAAGCATCATTAATCTCTATGAAAGGAATAATATTTTTTCGAAAAACGAAAAAAATTAAAAAAACAAAAAAAACAAAAATTATGTAGAAAAAACACTAAAGACAAAATATTGACGAAAATATTGAACATTTAGAAAAAAAGCATATCCAAATATTCAAACATTTATCATTCCATAATTTATCATCCTATTTAATTTCCAGTATTTCTTGTTTTTTATTATTCACTATAATTTTAATAGCAATGAATAATAGTTACAAAAAATTTCTAAAATACAATTTTACGAAGAAGATATACAATGGAGATCACGATAGTAGTGCCCAATATTTTTTTTTTTCATATAATTGGTTGACCTACGACTTAACTGCTGATTTATATTCTTCAGCGAGATTCTTCGCACGATCAACGTATTTCTGAAACCAATATTTTAATCAAGCATAAATAAAAAGCGATCTAATGAATATTTTAAATACTACTGCTTTAAATATTAGGTAAATATCAATGATTAAAAAATAATAAACAATCAACAATATTTAAAGGAATATGATAAAGATAATGGCAAAAGACAAGTAGTCATATTCTTGGATGACAATTGGAAAGCAAATATTTGAAATCGAATAATAAAACTAACCTTTTTTTCTTGTTCTGAAAGTGAATTCCAAGAAGAAGCGATATTTTTCATCACCATTTTAGGTTCAACGGTTTGAGCCTTGCGGAACATGGACGAATTTTCCTTTACAAATAAATTATAAGCGGAAGGCGGTTTATGCATTTGACCAATTCGTTTTGACTGAATATCATTATGAAAATTCAAGTGGAAATAAGATCATTTCACGCTAAGCTATGGCATGGTATTTTAAAGAAAATTTAAATCAGTTCATTTCTGGAATTATCTGAGAAGAAATTCGAGATATATTTGAAATTACTGTAAAAAAGTATACTTAAATATACTTCACATGGCATGTAATCTGCGGTTTTATGATAGAAATAGGTAATGATTCGTCGAAACAATAAAGATTAAATGATCATTTACAAGAAAATAGTGAATTCTTAAAATAATTAATGCCAAAAGAGAAGTAGTCATATTTGGATGAGACCAACAAAAAGCCTTATCTTAAATCGTCTTATCAATCCATATGAACGAACTAGTAAATATTTCTTAAAAATTAAAAATTTCCACAAATGTAAAAGGCAAAAGGAATTAAAAAATGGAACTGAATTATAAACTGAATTGTACTGAATTATTTATAATAATTATTAATAATAATTTAATAATAATAATTAATAATATAATTATTAATAATTAACTGAATTAATTTCACTGTATTCACGTTGTGGCCATTTTTAATATTATATTAAAGCTGAAAAAAAAACATTAGTTTGGTAGAAAATAAAAAATTAGAAAAAATTAAAAGAAATGACTAAAATATTACTGCTTTTTTCTCTTTCATCTTTTGTTTTCGTTCTTTTCTTCTGAGCCCTTCTTTCATAATTTTTTCTTTCTCTTCATCCGATAAACTTTCGAATTTAGCTTTTTTACTTTCAAAATCGGCCAATGAACGATCAAAATAGATCTAAAAAATCTTTTCAATAAATAATTATAATTAATAAATAATGATTGATAACGTTTTTTTTTAGTGACAATAAAGCGCTTAGTTCCATTTTTGTGCGAATTTAAATTTTAGTTTCAGTTGATAAAATATGGAATTTGTAAATTTTAATTTAATATAAAATAATTTAATCAAAATAATTAAATAGAAATGAAATAAAAAATCAATGAAAAATAATAAAAAAATTTAGAAAGAAACAAATAAAATAAATGAACTATTAACTTTTTTTGTCGAATCATCTAATGAATTCCAACGATTTTTCATTTCGATCATAAATTTTTGCGGATCACCAGATTCATTTGTTTTAAAATTTTCTTTAACAAAAATACCGAAAGGAGGAGTACGACAAAAACCACGTGGTAATTTTTGATTTTTTGATACTTCCGATACTGCTAATCTAAATTTTATTAAAAAATTGATAAAACACTCGCATTTAGTAGGAATCCTGAAATAATTCATTATCTCCTTAAAATCATTCAAATTCCCTCTAAACCAACCATCTCGAAATTCCTGTTAATACTTGCCAAATACCACTATATTCCTTCGATACCACCAATTATCATTATGGCTTTCCCTTGTGAATTTATAAATTATAATTTTTTTAAAGAGTTTTCACCATTACTGGTTAAACTCGCTCCACTGGCTTGTCACCTTGGACAAATATGTCAGAGTGTCTCGACGATAGAAATACAGGTGGGTCGCCAGCATCACTCAGATTTTCGGACAGGTTTACTCGTGCTGGGAATAGAACCTTAGTATTTTGAGCAACAACTAATCTATCCTATCCCCATAATTATAATTTTACTCATTGCAAACGTGCATTACGATGAATATTACAAGAAAAAAAAAGTGGAGATGACTATTGCTAAGAAATTATCAAATAGATTTGAGGAGGAATTGATAGGAAAAGGTTTTAAAATGAATAAATGATAGCTTAAAAGAACTATTAGATTTTCATATAGTATATTAAGGATTATTATTATATAAGTTTTTTAACGAAATTACTTAAAATGATAAAAATGCTAAAATATTTATATTATTAATTTAAAATATTACTAAATTTAACAATTAACCCTCAAATATTCCATGTTTATATTTTATAGTCATAAAACCAATCATAATTATTAAATCAATCATAAATACTTTAGCATAATTATTAGGTTATTAGTATAATGAAGAATTCACGAGAGTCATTATTTTCTTCACTACAATTTTACTCGATCCACTGGACTGTATTATTATTGTATATTATTGATGCATAAAAAATTATTAGCAAATTATTGTCGTCAAAATAATTGATTTATTTTGCAATTCATGCAAAATCAGTCAAGGATTTATTTTCGACACAATTCGACAATAATTTGTACACATCACGCATATTTTATTATTTGATTAGGTATTGATTAGATCATATTTTATAGCTATCTAGAGTGAAATAAAGTGAAATAAATAAATAAATATTTATACCGAAAAATAGCTCACCCGCAAATAAAACTTTGCTAAAATTAAATATTTAATGGGATTGAGGATTTTTGTAAATATTGAATTTTTTTAGGGAATATCAACTACTTTCAACAAGCCGAGTTGATATTTCTTAGGCAGTACAACTATGATCATAGAAAGATCTGAGATAAAATAATAGTTTAAGGTTTTACTTATCGAATCTGCAATCTGAAAAAAAAAAGGTTGAGAGAAATTTGGCGGTATGGAAGATTATATTAAGAAATTTTATAAAAAACTATATAAAAGATTATAGTGAAAGAAGTCTGGTAAAGTGTTAAAGGAAAAAGTTAAGTAATGATTTGGTAAATATTGTGGACCCTTGAAAATGGTTATTGAATGAGTGCTCTAAGAGGATTATTATTAACGAAACGCGGCAAAAGATAACTTTATAGGTGAGGTGCTAAAGAAAAATAACAGTATTTCGAGAAATATCAAGAGGATATTCAGTGAGGGAAGGATTTTCGTAAAATATGGTGATTTCGATAAATATTCGGAGACGATTTTTTTTTCCAACATACATAATATAAATACATACATATAAAAATCGCAAATTATTGAATAGAATTCTCGAAATGCAGTCTAATAAAATTAGAGAACCTTTTAAATGCTTTGAATAATCCAACGTCGCGAACGAGTGGCCATAATTTAGAAGACATTCCTGAAAATTTACATATAACCTTTATCAAAGGCATTTTTTTCTATTAAATTATTTAACGATAAAAATAATAAAAAGAAAAATTTGTAAATAATACAATAGGTTGTTACGATTTTTTCAATTAATCATTATAATATGAAGAGTGACGTAAAATTTGAAGAAAAATTAGGCAAAATTCAAAAAAAATAAACCATAGCATAAATAAAAAACATCTGCTAAATTACGAATAGCTCTCTTAAATTTTCTATTTAAATAACAAAATATTTTCCTTAATCGCTAATAAAGCGTTCATCAAAATGATTTTTACAGATCCGCTAGAGGTTATAATTATTTTCACATAATTATAACACTAAAATCCTTGATAAAACCTAATGAAATGAATAATGAATAGATTATTTTGTCATTTTTGAACCTAACTCTAACTTTTAATGCGTTAGATATCGACAGATTAGGTCGCATAATTTAATAAGCTTAATAGCGAGAAGATAGAATGAAGAAAGGAGAGACGTAATAATTTTGAAGAAACTCTGCAAAATACAAAAAGTAAGCGATAGGTTTATTCATTATTTCTGGTAAAAGTTCCTTTGATTAGCTGTTATTATGGTGATAAATTTTTATCATTTCATCATGAAGGTGATAAAAAGTTGATTGGAACATTTGGCACTGGATCGTTGAATCAATTTAATGATAAAAAAAATTCACTCTTGTCAGAAAGTTAGAATTCAAACTTCCGAGTCTCAAGACGATATTCTGAACAACGAAAACAAAATACTTTTCTATTGAATCCGCACGAGACTATAAGAATAAAATATTTGAAAAAGCACGGCGCTCTCTTTCAGTATTCAGTAATATAAAACGATAGAAGATAGGATTATTGCAGTATTTAATAAGTAAATTTTGCAGTATACAAAAAAATAAAATAAATTTTTTAAGGAAATAAAAAAATTTAGAAAATTTTCACAAAAAATTGCGGTAAATTTTAAAAAATTACAAAATATAAAAAATTAAAAAATTTATTTTAAAAAATAAAAAATATATAAAAAATTATAAAAATAAAAAATTATAAAAATAAAAAAATTATAAAAAACCAGAAAATTCATTTTGCTTCTTATTCATTATATAATTAATAAAAATCAATGAAATCTAACCAATTCAACTGCTGAAAATAAAAAATCAAACAAGTAGACACCGAATTCGAAATATCGTTTTAAGATCAGCGGCAAACCTTTGTAGCTTAAAATTCTTGTTTGGCAATTCAGTTAGCAATTTAAAAGATTTATTCATTGAAATGTTTATTTATTTTTTTTTTTTATTTTTCTAAATGTTATTTTTATTATTAATGTTATTTTTGTTATTATATAATTTTCTAATTGTGATAAAGATATCTTATCGTGTAAAGTCTTTACTCGTACGGCGATTTTGTGCTGCGATCTATCATTGTGAGTGCGCGCAAATGACTTATAATTACTGTGTGAGTTGACTGGTAGTATGAAATATATTTATATTTTATATATATTTAAATATATTATATATTATATATTTATATTTATATTAAGCAAATATTTATATTTTATTTTAAAATTATTTTAGATAATTTTTTTACTGTTAATCGTTTAAAATGATTTAAAATTAAAATTTACTTAAATATTTAAATATATTTTTTATATTATTAAATATTTTTTAAATATTTTTTTATATTATTGTATTGCAAATTATGCAAATTTTTAAAAGTAAAATCAATAAATATTTATATTTTTTGTTTGAAATATTTTATATAAGATAAATCAATAAAACTTTTTCCTTTTGATATTATCAATTTTATCAATTTTACTAAAAAAGATATTTTGATGACTAAATAAAATTAATGCTTTTAAAATTCGTAGATTTCAGATAACCAGTAGAACTAAACCTAATCTGCTATATCTATTAATATAAATGAATATTTTATATTTAATATTTTTTTATCATACATTTTTGCACGATAAATGCCGTGATGGAATATTTATCAATAAACTCAATGACTCAAAAAGCTCTGATAAATGCACCAAATTTGATCGAATGGCGAAATTATAAGTTCTTATATAAAATTGTTATCATTAATTTATTCCCATATCACAAAGCACATATAATATAGGCATTTAGTTTGATCCGAAAATAGTCTCGTCTTTTCCTTCATATGACATAAGCACTTCACTATTTTTTAGTTGATCACAATGATTAATATGAAAATGCATTGTGTCAGCGAAGCGAAAATAGAAATATGAATTGATTTGCAAAATTTCTAACCCTTTTAAATAATTTTTAATAATTTTAATTTTTAGCGAATTTCGCTTTTAATGGAAATTTTACTATCGCCAAGGACGATTCGAATTAATCAAATAAGATCGACGCTATTTTCAATTGATTGCATTGTTATTTCATGGAATATTTTTTGAGAAAAATAATAATATTTTAACATTTAATCAAGAAGAAGGATTTGCGGCCATTTTAATTTTTCATTTTTCAAAATTGAATCGATCCCACAAAAATCCATTATGCATTTATTCTCAATTATAAAAACTCTAAAATTTATGATGAATTTTTTAAAATTAATAAATTTTCTAATTTTTTTTCTTATTTTTAAATTTTATAAATTTAATACAAATTTTAGTATAAATTTTTAGAGTAAATTAGTAATTTTAGTGCAAATTTAGTTATTTAAATTTAAATTTAGTTTAATATAATTTTAATATATTATATTTAATAATTTTATATTAATATATATTAATATTAATATTGAATATATTAATTTTAATATATTTTTAATATATATTATAATATTTAATATATATTATAATACTATTATAATATTTTTAGTGTAAAATTGTTTATATATACAAGAAATTGTGCTTTTTATATTGCCTTATATTGCCTTAGTTGAAGATAATTGATGGTATATTTCTTCATTTGATAACAGTTGAGTTCAATAAGTTCAATTCGCATTCTTTAACGATAGCTAAGCTTTTATTAATTTAAAAGATATGGTACTAGGTATGTCTATTTCCAAATTATTGTATGCCAGGCCTTTCACCTCTTCGCAATAATCTTTAAATTTAGCAAAATGAAGACGATTCATACTGTCAAAAAAAAATAAATAAATTACTGTTGAATCACGCTCATTTTTTAGATTTCATAGAGGAAATTTTTATAAATTGTCATTTTGTCAAAATAGACGATCGAAAAAAAGGATGATATTTTCTCAAATCAAAGCAATTATCTATGAAACAATAAATGGTGCTGTACTACAATAAGTCGTTATGGGGTACTTAGTAGGTTGTTGCTCTGATTTCGAAACGTCGATGTATGAGCAAATATATCTTGCGAAAATCCGGATGACACTGGCGATACTCACCTATATTTTTATTCATCAAGTGATATGGTCTAGGTGGCCGACAAGGCAGCAGAGCAAATCTAATTTAGAAATAGTCTTAGAAGAAGAAAAAGAAGTCTTTAAGGAAGAAGTTCGACAGAAATATTATTTTATATTTCTACTAGCTGATATGTAATAATGGCAAATTAAATTTAAATTTAAATATAAAAAAATAAAGTATGTTAAATATAAATATAAAAATATAAATAATAATAAAAATACAAAATATATAAATATTTTTTTATATAAATATATAAAAAAAAAAAAATTTCGAAAACAACGAGAAATATAACAAATTATTGAATAAAATTTTATTTTTTCAGTAATTTTTTTTGTTATATTAAAATTAAATTTTATTTCACAAAAAAAATCGCCTAAAATTGAAAATTATTAGATTAAATATTTTTGGCAAATAATTCATTATAAAAACGAAAATTTTAGGTCATTTTTAAAATATTTTTTTTTTTTTTAAAGTTTCATGAATAATCTCATTCATAAATTTATTACATCTCAAATAATGAGGCCATAAGTAAAATCGATTTTAAAATGATTTTTGAAAAATATTTTTTCATAAAAATGAAAAAAAAAAAAGAAATGACAAGTCGGTGCTTTCACATTCCATTATTTTCCAATTGATTACATCTCAAATAGTTTTCTTAAAATTTCGTCTCGAAAATTGAAAAAATTGCAAATTTCCTCTTTTTTTTTCATTTTTACTTACTTTTTTTATCGATTTATTTTTTGGATTTGACGAATAGAATTATAATCGCTTAAAAAAAAAAGGATAATTTAAAAAAGGACAATTCAAAAGGATAATTTAAAAGGATAATTTATAATTAAATTTGAAAACTTTTTTTATTATATCACTTTTTTTATGAAAATAAATAAATAAAATTAGGGGAATTTAAGCGCTCGCTTAATCGTCTGTTAGAAATTTTTTGGATTACTAAAAATATACATGCAATTCTTAATGAATATTTTCGATTCCTATCCGAAGCATAATATTCTTACCCTGCGAATTACTCTTATGGTACCTTTACCTGTTGTGGTACCTTTTAAAAAATTAGGATCAAACTCTAGATGTTTAACTTTAGGCTAACATCGATGAAATCCTCACTATTACAGTTTATTAAAGCAAGAAGCTAATCATTTGTTTCATTGTCACCATCGAGGTTTTCATTTAAATGATTCATTCCTCACACAATTATTTCTAAGAAAATAATTATTTTACTAAAATAATTAAAAAATTAGATTTGATTTTTATTTATACTCAAGAAAATTATGAATTTCATTTAAAAATTTCATCAAAAAAAAAACTAATAAAATATTTTTTATAAAATTTTATTTTTTATAAATTTTATTTATTTAAATTCTATTTTTTGTACTTTGTATTTGATCGATATTGTAGAAAATTTTATAAATGAATAATTAAATTATTGTAAAATTTTATATGAACTGAAAATGAATGATTTGCAAAATTTTATGCGAAATGAAAATGGTTATTTAAAGTGATTGATTTTAATTAAAATATTATTAGGATATTTGGCCATTTGGCCAATAAATTTTTTATTAAATGATATAACGACATTAGT